AAAAAAAAAAAAAAAAAATTAGAGTGTTTGAGAAATTGAGAAAATACCACCAGTTCAACAAAGTTTGCCAACAAGGAATGATGGTTTTCCAAAGCTAAGAGGTAATATGTTTCTTGATATAATCAGAATGACCATCACTAGTATTTAATATTGTTCCATAGTGGTCCTGTTCTCTGGGCTAAAATGTAGACAGATAGTAATAATAATTTCACACAGTACTTTCCAGGACCATAAGAAATAAAGCCTTTGCTAGACTGAATCAGATTAAGCCAGGGACGGAATGTGACCAACAAACAACAGCTTCCACTCCTAAACTCAATGACAGGCTCAATAATAAAAGTTTTAATAAGCAATTAATTGTAGTGATAATTAATATAGCTCTTTGCTTATTCACTTAATGACTAATTACTGATTTTCTTTTATGCTGTTATGTGCCAGACACTATGGTAAGTGCTGTGGGAATAGAAGGGTCTGATGACAAAAATGAGATAGTTTCTCTGCAATTATAGAAATCAGAGTTGTAAGAGTATTTTGTTGCTTCCCATTAACCCTGGAATTAGACTTTTTCCTGGAAGAAACATGGTCTGCCTTAGCAACTTAAAATTTTTAAAATTTATTTTTGATAAAAATTGTTTATACTTAAGGTGTTCAAAATGGTTTCAATATCTGTATACACTGTGAAATGAGTACCACAATCAAACTAATTAACATATCCATCACCTCCCATAGTTACTATTTTGTGTGTGTGTGTGTGATGAGAATATTTGGGCTCTACTCTTTTAGCAAATTTCCAGTGTATAATACGTTATTATTAACTATAGTCACCATGCTGTACATTCTATTCTCCAGTATATTAAACCCAGTAAAAGTTCAGTAAATAAATATTTTAAAAGGTAAATGAGAACTTACATATATACTAAATTTCTTTAATTTTCCTTTAATATATTATGAATAATATACTCACACATATGTAAACCTACTGATATCCAAATTTATTTTAATCTATTTATATTTATTAGCTTATACCATATCTCCACTTATGGAGGTTTGACAAATATGACTTATTGCTTAAAGTATAATTCCTTTTTATTTATTCTAAGGGTACATTTTTTTCCTGCTTTATGGGTAACTCCAAACTCTGTCATTCTCACTGATAATGATGCTATCTCCTACTTCATGTTCACCAAATAATTCATTCGATGATACTCTAGGTAATTTTATCCTGCCTTTAGGATATTTAAAGGAATCTTTTTTAATATAGATTTTAGAGATTCTTCCCAAGTGCTTGCCCCTCATCTGTTATTTGGTAGTGTTTCCTCTTCTCTTTATTTGGGCAATTTTCCCTATTCTGACCTTTTCTCTCTTATTCTGTCAGTTAGTTACACAGAAATTTTGCCTGATCACCTGTATATGCTTACATCATATTGTTTTAAAAGTATCTGAAGGCTCATTTTGGGATTTTACTCCTTAAAATTTATTTCAATTTCTTTTCTTCATGAAGTTACATTTAATCTATTGTTATTTATAAAGTTTAATGGTAAAATAAAATAATTTTTTTCCTGATTTGTTTAATCATTGGTAATCAACTATGCCTGTTGAAGGAATAAATGCCTGTTCATTTATTTACCAAAAGATAGTTCTAAAATTGAAAATTAAAAACAGTGTGGGAAATAAGTTAATTTCTTTTATGTGTGTGTGTATGTCTTAAAATTACTTGTTCTACAAAGCAGCATATTAGAAAGTTACTTGAGCCCGGCCGGGCGTGGCTCAGCGGTTGAGCGTCGACCTAGGATCCAGGCGATCGGGGTTCGATTCCCGGCCAGGGCACATGCCCGGGTTGCGGGCTCCATCCCCAGTTGGGAGCGTGCAGGAGGCAGCTGATCAATGACTCTCCCATCATTGATGTTTCCATCTCTCTCTCTCTCCCTTTCTCTCTCTCTCTCCTTTCCTCTCTCTGAAATCAATAAAGACATATAAAAAATAAATAAATAAATAGAAAGTTACTTGAGGATGTGCTCCAGCAAACTAATGGTATAGGACAAAATGAAAAAAGGAATGCTATGGGAGGCAAGAAACTGTGGCTCCAACTCCTAAGAGCATTAAAGGGAAGACCCAGGATGCCAAAGTGCATTAGACCTAAATGGTAACCAGTACCTGTTGATGATGGGAAGAGGTCTTAAAGGGAAACAAAACACTCCATTGTATAGACAGAGCAAGAGAATGGAGAACTTGAGAATGTGGTAAAAACATACAAGAAAATTACTGGTAAATAGAAACCAAAAAACAAGTAAAAAATAAAATAAAAATGAGTGTGCTTTTCAGCAGTTAATGGAAATAAACAAAGCACTTGGTGCTATGAACATTTTCCTCTGAGTGCTACTAAGGATAACACTGACAATGTCAAAGTATAACTAACAAATAACAGAAGGAAAATGTCTCTAGGAAAAAAATACTTTAAAAAACAACAAATGAACCAATTTGTGACCATAATCTAAGTTGGTAGTATAAACTTAGATGACATAAAGCATAAGTGGATAGATAAAGAGTAAGGCCAAAAAGACCATAATAATATATATTTTAAAATTCATTAGTGTATAAATAATTTGACTCCCTTTATAAAAGGTGAAATATAGAGACAAATGATTAATGTTTAAAAAAGAAATTTTTATATCTTTACATAGGATTGTAGGATAATAGAAAAATAATACATAATGAAATTGTATTGGAAAATGTTCTGCCTTTTAGAATTTTAACCCAAAATTTCCCTTTTATATTTCCTACATCAAAAATCACATAAGTGTTTGATGAGAGAAGACAGGTAGGGAGTTTAAAGATCAAATCCACGTATAAAGCCTGCTATTTCACAGAGCAAGTCAATTATTAGAAAACACAATGGACAAATATTAATTTACTAATCAACAAAATAAATAAGCTTAATAGAAAAGAAGCAATATGTGAAAGACACCATGATAATTATTTTTACATGTGTTCTTGGCTATTCCTCTCTAATATTACCATTTTTGTTCTACATAACACTCCCTTGAAATAGATGGTATTAATTCAAATCATAAATGGGAAACTGAGACTCAAAGAGATTTAATAACTTGCTCTAACTCACGAAGCTCGGACTTTAACCTAGATCTCTGACACCAAAGCTCATGACACCCTTTCAACATATGATTATTCACCTTTATTGAACAATTATAATGTGCCTTTTATAGGCTTCAGAAACTAAAAAGTAGGAGAAAAACAGAAGCACACAAATACAAAACAAAAACAAGATTTATTAAATAATTTCAAGTACACCAGACAATGAAAGAGTTAATCTACAAAGAAGCATATGCCAGAAAAAAAAATTATAGGCAAACAATTTTGTATTCCCCAAATGGGACTTGCAACACATACCTAATGACGTAGTTAATAAACTCTAGGGCTTTTCTGCCATTTGTGTATTGTAGGAATATGGATAAAGGAGCAAAAACAACAACAAAAAATGGCATAACTATGCTGTTTTAAAAAAATCTAGTAATTCAAACAAATCTTGAAAAATGTTAAGCAGTGATTGGATGGTTTACATTTTTACTTTACTTTCCAGCTTATACTAGAAAACATTTTTATGGCAGTCATTTATAAAATTCTTTTATTATATTTCCACCATTATCATATTTCCCCCCATTTTTCTGACTGGATGAATGAGGATACCCCATTCAGAAAAAGTATATAGAAATGAATAATAAAATCAATTTATATTCTGTTAGAGACTAAATACTAACTGGTAATCTTTTAATTTATCATGAAATGATACAAAAATAAAGAAGATAATACATTTTATAGGCATTTTAAGAAGTGTACATGACACTAATTAGAAGTTCTATGACAAAAAAAGATGATTATGGTCACAGTCAGTAACTAGATACCGCACCACCATGTTTGTACTTTAAGCAGAAAAACAATTATGAAATGTACAAAGCCACACAAATCTTGGTCAATGTTTTACAGATAAAGCATTGTCATGACTTAGGTTCATAAAATGCTACAAAGTAGAGGAACTATTAATTTTTAATGACTTTGAATTTCTACACTGTGAATACAATACACTTACTTACTTTTTTCTCCGGTTTGACTCCACAGAATATTTACGTGCTCGATTTCGACATATTTTTTGTTGCTGCAATAATATTTGACGCTCTTCTTCTAAATTTTTCTCTAGATGGATTTTCATATCTCTAATGATAGCATAAAGTTAAGGACAATGTCTTTAGTGGATGAGTGTCAGTGCTATATGTTAAGTACAATTGACATAATGATTTTTTGTGTAACAATTAGTATGTGTACACATTAGTGTTAGTATATGACCAGTAGATGTTTGATGTAAAAAAATTCTGAGTTGGTATTAGAATTGAAGATATATCTCATTTTCCCTGGGGAAAAAAATTACTTTTAGACATCATGAGCTCAGATAAGGAGACTGCACATCATTTATTAATTACACAGATATTTGAGTATTGATGAACAAGTTACTATCTTAAGCATATATATGTATGCATATAGGAAAATGAAGGTTATATTTCTCTAATAGACAAACTATACTTTTCAGTAGATTTTAGGATTCTTTCAGTATTAATGTTATAAAAACTTCATTATATATTTAAAAATAATCATGCTTATTTGAACTTTTGGCTGTTTAACACTTTGCTAATGGGAGCTTATTCATTTTCCATTATATTGCTATTTAACCATCTTTATACCATTGACCATAATTTATTTTATCCTCATTTTATTATATAGTTTTATCACATCAACACAAACACACGCGCACACACACATACACATATTTACTTAAAGTTTCTTTTGAAGGATTTATAAAAATGAGACAAAAGGGAAGAAAATCTTGTTCTTTCCTAGCACAGAAACAACTGACGTTTTGCCCTGTTCTTCTCTAATATAGTACTTTTTTAGAAGGAGTCAGACTTCAACAAGACGGCTAGCTGCTAAGTCACAAACAGCATGGTCGTGGAGGAAAGTGCTAGTTCCTTTCAGGGCAAGTGAGAGCAAAGGGCGAAGCTGCCTTGGCTCAGGTGAAGCAAGCCAGTTCTGTCCTCTGTTCAACAAGTTTGAGATCTCATTACAAGACCACAAAGAAAATCACAAATGTAATGTTTGTAATGTTCTGACAATTTATATGTTCTTAAACTTAGATCAAACGACTTTCTCCACATATACATGTATTAATAAATGTTTATATATAAATATAAAAATGTGTATTATATACACAACTTTTGCCCCCTGAATTATAAAGAATGCTGCTGCCTTTGCATCATTTCAAAGTATGCTCTTCAAGTTTAGAAAAAATTAGATGGTTGGTTAAATTTTTGTTTTTCCCACAAGCTGTAACGTATAGGTAAGATATTTCCCTAAGAATCACTGATAAATAACTGTTTAAAGGAAGGTAATTTTTATATACTTAACATTAAAAAACCAACCAAGAATACTATGGGTTGTAGAATTAAGTAACACATAATGGTAATTTAAAAACAGTCTAACCTACTGTACCTCACCCTCGTCTTTCCCTGTCCCAATTTAGTCTTTCTCCAATTGGAGCTCATTTAGTGTAACAAACAACTATGTATCATGCAACCTATATTGCTGCCGAATTTATCAGAGCTATCCTGATTCTTTTTCTTCTCGGTAACCCCTTCCACAGCCTTGGCTCAGGCATTCCAAATCTCTTACCTGGACTCACTTAGCAGTTTTCTAATGTGATTTATCATGCCATTCTCTCTCTTTACTTCTAAATGTGTCATCCTCCTTTTGAAACTCCATAAAGCCAGCTAATTGCAAATATGATTGATTTTCTCATTCTTTGTTGTTCTCCAAAAGCTCTTATCATCTTTATGACAAATTCCAAATTTCTTGGAATATAAAGCTTTCTATAATTTTCAACATTATTTCTCAACATTTCCCTGCATGAATCCTTTTTGCCTAGTCACACAAGGATACATATTAACAGAACATGCTGTGATTTATCATGCCATTCTCTCTTGACACATGCTTGGCTAACTCTGCTCATCCTTTCAGGGTGCAAAGAACCAAGGATGGTGGTGAGAGAATATGTGCAGGTAATTTAGACTAGGGTATAAATTGGGCAGGGAAGAAAGAGAGATAAAGTGGGTGCTAGAATAAAAGTGGAAGGGAAGAAGACTGGGGAGACTTATGAGAAAAAAAGAGGCATAAATGTGAAGGGGAAATGAAACAATTCACTTTGGCTAATTTTAATTAGGAGAACTTTATGAAGTTTTGTTTTTTTATAGCATTTAGAGTTAAGAAATTTTGACTCAAATAGAAAACTGGATGTCTCTCAGTACTGACTTCATATTTGAAAATCACATGTAGAAATTTTGCCAGGTTACTTGATTTTTTTCTCATTTAGTCATTCATTCCAATAAATTTGAGCATTATAGACAGGCACAATGAAAATCCAAATTAATATTTATAAATGGTGCTTAAGTGTTTCTTCAACTAGTAACATGATATTCTTGATTTAGTGTCATAGTCTTTATTATATTAAAAAAGAATTTCTTTATTCCAATTTAAATATATACACGCTATGTATCTTATATATACTAGCAAAAATATATTTGTAGATACATATTTATATATGTATATATACACACATACTAGCAAAAGTTGTTGGGTTTTATCAAAGGCTCTTGGGCATATCTATTAAAACGATCATTTACAGCTTTTAAAATTTTAACCATATGTTTAGTATTTAAGTATATATTTTTAGTGATATATGTCTTTATAGGAAGCCATCATTACAACTCTGGAATTAAGTCTTTTTGGTTTTGTTCATTTAAGGCACTGCTGAATTTCTTTGATGTCTGTGTCAACACTCGTGCCCCATAAAATTAAAAGAATTCAGCCTACCATTTCATTAATGGCAATGATGGAAACAGACACTTTGTCAATGGGCCATTTACAATGCTTTCCTACTTTCTAACTTAGAGATAACTCAGGGTCAGTGTAACAGGAGTTTAGTGTTCAAGAAAATACAGTGTCAAGGGGACAGGATCAAACCCCTACTGAAAACAGCGCTGCTTATTTCAGAGCACACCTTCGAGAGGGCCGGTTTTGGGGTGCAGCCACGGCAAAGGCCAAAGGGAGCAGGGTTAAGAATGAATGGGTAAGAGGAGCCAGGGGGTGCAGTCGCACACCAGCATTTTCAGAATTTAGCCACAGAAAGACAGTCACGACAGAGGGGTGGAAGCTGGAGGACAGCATCGGAGGAGGGCTCTTTTAATAAGCACGAAGCTCTGTACACATGCCTTCCTCGCTAGCTTTTTATCCCTAATACCTAGAACGGAGTCTGCCAGCGAGCAGGCCCTGAATTAAACTTGCTTGTCAGCGTGCTGTTAAAACTGCAGCGCCCCAGAAGGAGTGGGAGGCCACGTGGGCAAAACAGGGTTAACCTGGAGGGAGGAGGCGAGACGCCCGGTTCCCCGCCGACCAAGTCCTCTGCGAATACCACGGTGAATGCTAATCATCACCATATTCTCTAAGGAATACACACGGTGTACTTATTTTGAAAACAAAACTCTCAGCTCTTTCCATTTTCTACAATGCCACCCACAGCTACGTCAAAGGCGGGCTCCCCGGTTCCTCGGGACTGTCCGAGCTCCTGGGGCGGGTCGCGTCCCGGGCCCCGCTCGTGGCGTCCCCTCCGCCGTCTCCCTGACAACGGGCGGCGCTCAGGGGCGCAGAGCACCCCACGGTCCCGGCTTCGGCGGCTCCGGGGAATGAACCCGCGGCGAGTCAGGCGCACTGTTAACACGGACTCTCTCTTCGATTTAGCAGAAACCCTTTACCTGTTTGTGGAATTCTCACCGCCGAGCAGCGCGGTTAATCGGGAGGACGGTCATGGGAAGTAAAGGGCGTACGGCCTAATCCTAGCAGGCAAGAAACCGACCTCCACAGCACACGCGGTTTACGTTTTTTAAAACTCGCCAACATTGGACACCGAAGCTGAAGAACCGGGTGGGGTCACCAGGTGGCGGGGGAGCGGCCACTAGGGAGCGGTGTCATTTCAGGTCTACGGGGGGAGCACCGGCGGCTCTAAGGCAAAAGTCCGCCCTAAGACCCCGGCCCGTTCCGTTGCCTAGCAGCGGAGGGAAGGGGGAGCTAAGGCGAAAAGCCAGGGGCCCGGCCGCCAACGCGCTCCCGCGGCGGCCACGGTCGGGAGGAAGGATACAGGTAAGCGCCAGCTCGGTGACGCCCGCCGCCCAGCCGAAGGTCGAAGGGGGCTCTGTCGCGCGTGTCCGAGGATTCAGTGCCCAGTCCCGCGACCGCGCTCCGGGCTCCGGGCCTCCCGGTCAGCATCCTTCACCTCAGCGCCGCCTCCGGGCTCGCCCCTAGCGCCTCCTTCATGGCAGCTCCCGCTCCATCTTCCTCCTCCTCGGCCCCTCCCGGCACTCGGTCTCTCAGGCCGCGAGTCACAGACGCGGAAGGGTTGCCCGCGGAAGCTCCGGTTCGCTCTCTGCGGCGCTGGTGGCTGTGGTGGCGACGGCAGCTGCGGCCGCGAACTTTCCCGGCAGCGGGAGAGGTGGTGGCGGCGACTTCGCCGCCGCCGCCATCTTGACAACCAACCGACGCCGCGTCCTTCGCGACGGAAACCAGGGGGCGGGGCTGCGCGGGGCGGGGCCGGAGCCCGAGACAGCCAATAGGAGGCCCTGGCTGCCCGCGCCCGGTGCCCCGCTGGCGGCGGGTGGGAACCGGCATCTCCAGGGACCAAAGTTTTCCCGCGAGTGGAGGATTCGATTGCGCGTGAGAACCCGGCTCAGCTCTGCCGTCCTTTTCGTGAAGGCGTTTTCGTGGGGTGTTGAGAGTGATGGAAGACAGTGAGATGGAGACCCCCCGGTGCCGCCGCCGCGGCGATCCTGAAAGGATTTCCTCGGGGATAATGCAGGGTAGAGCTCGTTCAACCACCGAATCCTGCTGTGGGGTTCGGGCCGAGCCTTTCTGGGGCATCACTATCCCCAAACACCAGTTCTTTTAAAAAGCTTCTGAAGTGGGAATTTCCGTTCTCTGCATTCTCTCGCCTACTCCCCGATCGTCTGCCCTTCCGTCTTCCCGCCGTCTCCCCAGCGAACAGGCTCGCGCTTCGGGGCTCCCGATGGCGCCCGCCCTGCTGCCCGCTTCTGCCAATAGACCGTCCCAGCGTCGGCGGCCTGGAAGGAAGCCCACATGCAACCTAGGAATCTCCTGGGAAGATCCTCCGAAAGAGGTCTTACTGAGATAAAGAGGGATGGAAAATTGAGTGGATTTTCGAGGCCTCAGTTTAACGGCTATACAAGTGAAAACCTGAAGAGAGGGGAAAAAAAAAAGCCGAAACTGTCTGCTGGAACCCATTATAAAAGTACAGGTACATCCTGACAGTATGTCAGCCAGGTTTTATTTTGGTGGAAAAATTCCCCGATTGGAAGCAGAAGGTAGAAACCAAATAAAGATCACTCATCCATCCTTCAAATGCTTCTGCCTTTGTGAATCCATTTGTTCATTTTTAGAGTTGAAATTATGATAAAAAATTCCAGTGGAAACTACTTAAAACTGATTTTTTGCAAAGTTGGATGCATTGACTCAAATTGAAATGTGCTCTGGTTGCTGAGATTTTCAAGTGCCACAACAAATCCAATTTCTTTAAAAATAAAAATATATGTTTTTTATTGATTTTAGAGAGCGAGGAAGGGAGAGGGAGAGAGAAATCCATGTGAGTGAGAAACACAGATCTGGGAATACAGCCAGCGGCCTTTTGGAGCACGGGACCAACCGAGCCACACCGGCCAGGGCCAAATCCGGTTTTGATTTAGAACACAAAACACAGCAGCCCCCTTCAGGACAACGCTAAGAGGATATAATGTATACTTTTGGCAGAGAAAGACTAAATGTGTACACTTGGACCATTAGCTATCTTGGCAAGTGTCTAACTGGCTTAGCCACAGGCATTGACCTTGATTCTATCCCCATTGCTGTTATCCCAAGTTTGCATCTAGAGCAATGGAGAGAAAGAGAGAGAAAGAGAGAGACAGAGCACTATGTGGGGCAGGGCACAGTGGAAATAAAAGGGAGAAACCTGTGGTTGCTGTTTGGAGCATTTAGGCATTTTAGCCTTCCTGAAAGTCTAGCTTTTGCTAATTATTAATTTAGTATCTCATAACTCCTTGTCACCTTACTGCTTTGGTGCATGGTATATTAGCATTAGAAGCATGACTTGGTTGCCTGCAAATATTTGCTTATATAAACATTCTTCATTCATATGTTGCTTTACAATAACCAAAAGAAAATAAATTTTAAACAGCATCTTGCCAGCTTTTTAAAAATAAATCACAGGAACTAATTTTTTTTGTTTTGTGATTCTTTTCTTCAAAACATTAAGCTGGTTTTCCACATTTTATTTAAGTTATATAGTCTTAAATTCCAAAAAAAAAAAAAAAAAGTCTGTAAGATTAGATAGTTGGATATAGAAAGACAATTTGAATTATTTATAAACTTTACCTCTTGATAGGAAAGGCAAATATGATTGAAGCAATAAAAAAGAATATACTAAAATCTTTGTTTTGTCGGAAGAAACAGTCATATTAAATATAATGTTTAATTCTTTCACACTCCAAAACCACAAAATAATTGATTTTTTTTTACATTAAGGAAATACACATTTTGAGCATGTGCCAAGCACTTTTTAGGTGCTGAGGATTCAGTGGTGAACAAAACTTTCAAGTCTCTATGCTTATGAATCTTGTATTTATATTTTCTTCCCACCAGAATATATCATGTAGTGAAAAGTACTACCAAGAAAAATGGAGTGTTAGGGGGATACAGACTGATGTCAGTTCTGTTTTAGGTAGTGTGCTCAGGGGAGTCCCCTGAGAAAGGGAAATTAGGACAAAGGTCTGAATGAAGAAGTGCATGGGGCACGTACTTCAGATTCAGTGGGGACTTACACAGTATGCAAGAAATTAATACAAAATCCACTTTCCAATGGAGGGAATGCCCACTGGAGAATTTTGAGTAGGAGACTAAAAAGGATCACCGTAGCGGTTGTGGGGAAATTTAAACTATAATTGACAAGACTAGATACAATGAGGCTGGTTTGAATGGTGTTATAGCTGGTTGGGTGAAAGATTATGGAGACTTGGTCTATAGTGGTAGTAATAGGAGTGGCAAGAAGTAAGCAAAATTTTAATCTTGAGCCAATAAGACATGTTGATGAGTGGTTGTGGCGATTGGGAGGAGAGGCAAATGTGGCTCAGATGTGGAACTGGAACAACTAGATAAAGGGTATTGCCGTACACTAACACAGGGAGGGAAAGGCCGAGGGTGGAAGAAGGAATAGCACTTAGGCTTCGAAGACGTGAACTCTGAGATTCCTATTAGACACCCAACTTTATCAACATGGTCTCATCAATTGTTAAATATGTTCTGTTTACAAAAGAAACTAATAATAGCCACCTTATGGCTACAATGCATATTCCATAACTTATCTAATTCGAATACTGCTGTAACCCTGTGAATTATATGGTAAGGCTGCCTGTGATGAACAAATATTGAGGTTTCACTTTCATCCTGGCTGAGGCTATTTTTCCATCTTCTGCTGAAGTTTTTCTTTTTTTTTTCCTCAAGTAAGAATTTCCTGAATTTGTCTTTGGGCAAGCTGTGAAAGAACAAAGAATTTTAACGTCTGGCTGATTAAAAATTGCTAAAGTTCTGCCATCTTCATTTCAGTTTCATAAGACTTCAATTAGAAATTTATGATTAAAGATATATACTCATCCACTCCTAATATAGTTTTCAAAGGTTATTGCTATTTGTCAGCATGTTATAATTGTAGTGTAGATCAAGTGAAATAATAATGATGCCACCTAACATCTGAGTGCTTGTTTTCCATGTACTGTGCTCAGTGCTTACATATATTAAATCATTGAATCCACACAACCACCCCCATTCTATAAAGGAAATAATTAAGCTACAGTGATAGAAGTAACTTTGCCCAAGTTTCCAGGGCAAGGGATTGGGGAATCAAGATTCAAACCCAGGCAGTCTAGTCCCAGAGATAAGAGATAAGAGTTGTTTAGGTTTAAATAATAGGTGGAGAAATAAAGTCAGAGAATAGAGAATTAATTTGGGATACTACTTCATTAATTTATATTTGAGTGCCTATTGTATACCAATCACTATGTTAGAACTATAAAAACTGTGGTCTCTGCCCTGTCATTCTCAGGCTAGGGAAGGAAATGAAGAAAATAATACCTTGAACAGGAACAAGACTCAGGAAAGTTTTACTTTGCCTCTTAATTTTAAGATAGGGAAGCCTTAGGCATGTTTACACAGTGAAGAGAGGGAGGCATTGTATGGGAGAGTGAAGACTTGTCACAGACATTGATCTATCAACTTTCAGAGACTGGTAATTTTCAATAGCAACAGTTCCCTTATATTAAAAAAGTTTTAAGTTTTAACAATATAGATGTAAAACGTACAAATCAATTAGAGGCCCAGAAATTCGGCATTTATGAGGTTAGTATGATCATGACTGACAGCTAAATTGAGTTAGAAGCACATTTTAACTCTGAATTATCTATCTGCTCTGAATGTCCACATTGATTAAATTTCTACTTAGCATTTTGTAGAAATAGTTCCAGTGTAAAGCTATTCCCACGCCATCACTCATTTCCACTTTCTTATTTTTTTTATTCAAACTAGTTCATAATTATTGAGGTATATCTTATCAAAGGCATTTTTTCCTAATGCAAAAAAAAAAATCTGACTCATAAAAACTAGATGAATTTATAAATTCATGAACTATCTATTCATTGCCCATATTCCAAAGGAATGGATTTATGATGAATGCATCTAGTGATTTTTTCAAAAAGGGTTTTTATAACTTCAAATGACAGAATCTCTAGAAGCTACCTTGTTTTTCATATGAAGGGTGTTGTTTCAAACGAGGGCATGGAAACCAGTAAGTATTGGCTTCTGTTTCTGTTGTACACCTTCCAGAAATTTTTGACTGAAGACTCTATGCACTGTAGTTCTTTCCACAGAGTGCTGACTGATATTTGAAGAAGTTTTTTATTTCTCCAAGAAAAATATGATGTATCTCTCCCAAGTCTCATTCTTGTTCTTAAATATATGTATTTTTATTTGTGGAGAAACTATACAAGGTAACTGTGTACAGCAATCTACGGTAAGAATTTCAGCAATACTATTTTAACTAGGAAAGCATGATTATATGGTTTTTAAGATTTATATTAGGTGTTTGAAAAGATTAATTATACTACTCAATATAATTTATGGAAAAATTAAGGTGTTTATTTAGAAATGCTGAAATTTTGCTTAAGTGATGTTATTTTTAAACTTAGGAAACCATAAACTGAGAGTTGACTCTTAACCTATTTCTTGTGAAAATATTTTAAAGAAATTGCAGGCCTGGGTTAAAAACTAGCCAACAACTTTCTGATTAGCTTTGATAATGAACTATCAGGTAAGTAATAAAAAAAATCACTTAAAAAACCCCATTATTCTACCAACTTTCATATTTCAAATATAGCCTTGTGAGTGGTTACCTAGGATATTAGAAAATTTTATTCAAAACAATGTCAGAGTAATAGCTAATATAGTGTAGACAATACTTACTATGAGGAGATGGGAATTTGAATGTTACACATTTAAATGTTGGTTTATATTTTTTAAATATTACAAAATGTATTTACCACTGTGTAGACACAAAATTCCAAAGTTCCAAGGTTAAGAAAGAATTAATTCTAGGAAAGCTACAGAAATATTAATAATTTAACTCTCTAGAATACAAAATATTTAAGAGTATTATTTAAATCTGAAAAAATAACTTGTAACCTAGGTTTTTGAAAACATCTAGTATGCCTGTGATAGGAGTAGAAGAGAAAGAGCAAGAAATTAAAAATAGATCTATGTAACAAAATGTGTCTATCTTTTTGGGACAGATATCTTTTATAATATGATTAGCTCTTTACCTTTCAATATCCAGGTCAAAGGAGGGTAAAGCTTGTTATTATTATAATTTTAATAACAGTTATTTAAATCAATATAACTTCTATGAAAGGATATTGTAACATCAAAGAAACCATAATACCAACAAGAATAGATACAGCTGTAGTTGGCTTTTTAAAATGACATCTGTTGTTGATTTTGCAAAGCAAAATCCCATGCTTTTTTCCTGTTATTACTGATACCTTTCAAACCTCTGAGTATTTTACTTTTAAATCTTTAAGTACTTTACCTTATACAAAAAGTGACAATTCTCCTACACATTTCTCCTCCCCCTACCCTTCAACATGATTTCTAATAACTGGTAGCAGAAAGTATCTCAGGGAATGCTCTTAGTCCATGTTCAAGGAACTTCAAATTGCAAGATTCCCAGAAGAGGGATGGCTCAGCACTGTATCACACACACAAATGTGCAGAAGTTAAAGCCACACAGCCACAGTTACAGGAAGCAGACCCTAAGTGCAGTTGGCCCTCCATATCCACGGGTTCTGCATCCACAGATTCAACTAAATGCAGATCGAAACTATTTGGAAAAAAGTTACGTTGTTGCTGACGTTTACTGTGTAGTTAGGCCTAGGATGGTTTCATCTGTACTGAACAGGTACAAACTTTTTGGGTGTTATTATTCCTTAAACAATATAGTACCACAACTATTTACACAGCATTTACATTGTGTTAAGTATTATGAGTAATCTAGAGATGATGTAAAGTATACAGGAAGATGTGTGTAGGTTATATGCAAATACTGTGCCTTTTTACAGCATCTGTGGATTTGGGTATCTGCAGGGGTCCGGGAACCAATCCCCGTGGACACCAAGGGATGCTGTAAGTCCTTTTGGAATTTAAGAAGAAAAGAGAGCAAAAGTATTGAATTAACATATACTTATAATTCATACCCAAAATCTACCCATAGGGTTTATTTATAGAATTTGAACTAACCAATTTATTAACTTTTTTTTCTAATGTTCATCTTTGTTATGTCCTGAAATCTCATCTTTTCTCGTCTTCTTATTTATTGTGTATTGGACCATATAACACACTTCATATATTTTTCTTATTTCTATTTTTTAATGTAAAGCATTCTTCAGTAGCTAACATTGTAGAAGATGTATCTCATGGAAAAGATGAAAGTAAAAGTAATGATACGGTTCATAAGGAAGACTGTGAGGAATCATGTGATATTAAATCTAAAATTACACGAGAAGAAAAACATTTCATGTGCAGTAAGTATTACAAATAACCACAATTATAAAGGTATATGATCTTTATTATTTCTAGGGTACACATGGAAAAATGTGTCCTAGCTTTTGTTTGGGTCATTTTATATATATCTTGATTATCTTAGGCCAGAGATTTTATGTGTTTGACACATAGTACATGCTTAGTAAATATTTGGTAAATGCACAAATCCTTGTATATAGCCCTGAGGCATCAAGAGGCCACGGAAGGAAGGGCCAAGCCAGAGGGCACTGGTAGTAGAATTGTATCACTTGACCAGAACTATTTTCTTAATTCCATTTGAGACAATAGGAAATTTCACCTTAGTTTTGAGGAGGGAATTCATTAATACTGAACAATTGCTGCAATAGGCATAATACAAATTCACAACAATTTATGTAACAAAGCATAAAAAATAAAAAGTTTAAAAATCTCCATTTTTGTTTAGAACTATTTAGTAACAATGCGGTAATTTTCATGGTCTATTATATGTACATAAGGGTGGGATGAAGAAGGGGAATCAGAAATGGAAGAGGTGATGATTTAATCCAGTTCTTACAGGGCTGTAATTCCTAGGTCAGAGAGTATAAAAAGCTCACTTTAATGGGCTTCACTCTATGTGTAACACAGTGTTTCAGGCTTCTCAAACCAGCAAGTGGAGGTTTACGTGCATTAAGAACAAAATAAACTAACAATAGAAACAGACCCATAGAGAGAATGGACTGACAGCTGTCAGAGGGGAGAGAAGTGGCTGGGCTGAGTCAAAAGGGGAAGGGATTAAGCAAGACCAACCAACCAACCCAAGAATCTCATAGGCATAGAAAATAGTATGGTGATACCAGAGGGAAAGGGTGGTGGGGGGAGGTAGAGGAGGATATAGGGGGGATAAATGCTGATGGAAGAAGACTTGACTTGGGTGATGAGCGCAAAATACAATATATACATGATGTATTATAGAATTGTACACCTGAAAACCTATATAATTTTAATCAATGACACCCCAATACATTCAATTAAAAAAAGAGTTTTTTTCTAAAAAAAGGACAGATGTCTAAAATCAGGAAGAATCTAATAGAAGATAAGCGACTGAAAGTACCAAAGATGAAGGCTGGGTGAGGCAGATTTGAAAACATCAAGAATTATTAATGTGATTCTACTGCTGGAGTGCAAGTTAGGAACATAGAAATAGGACAATTTTTAAAAGAATAATGTATGCAATCATGTGCGGTTCCTTTTGTTATAAAGGACATCATTAGTATAATTGGAGAAACTTGCATGAGGTCTGAGACATACATGGTCGTCAATGTTTGTTTCCTGCTTTTGATGGTTGTGTTGTAGAGAATATCTTTGGTGTAAGAAATAACACTGAAATACCCAGGGACTTCCTGGCAGCATGCCCTCAAATAATTTAGGAAAAAGTTCTTTGTACTCTTCTTGCAACTATTCTAGCAGTAAGCTTATTTGAAAATAAAAACATTTTTAAAAAGGGAAAATTTAACCAGAAACCAGCCAACCAAAATTTGTGACTAAGTTTATGATGTGTGTTTGCAGTTTGTTTATATAAAAATATAGCATTAATATAAAAATTAAAAGAAAGGTTAGTTTTTAAAATTAAATTGCATGATAGGGGATTATTGCCTTTTACTTTCTTATATAGTAAGAATTGATGAGTCTTGGACCTCCTGCTTCTATACCTCTCATCTTATAAAGTGAGAATTGATACTCAGAATGTTTCCTCTCAATTATATCAGATTAAATTATTTGAGGGAACCTAATTTCATTAAGAAGTGTTACAATAATTGTGTTCTTGGTTCATCCCGAGTTATACAAAAAATACACTAAATAGAATAGAATATGCAATTCTGAGTATTTAGATAATGTTATTATTTATGTATTTATTCAAAATGATGTGCATTTAATTATTTTTCACTGTAATTGGTTTCTATAGCAATTTAATATTTAGCAAACACTTTTTATTATGATTTAAGGAAATTTGCAAAATTCTATTATTTCTTACACACGAAGTACCAAAAAACTACTAAGAAATATAATGGATGAGCAGCAAGCTTCCTTGGATTACTTATCTAATCAGGTATGGAGTTTTGGTATTGTGTTGTTATTGCATTTGCACAATGATATAGGTAGCTAGAGTACAATCATTTAATTTTTTAATGCATTCATGTCCAGACATCTGTTTAGTGTCTACTATGTTGGAGGCACCATAGTAAGCCTCAGGCAAACAGAAAGTAACAAAAAAATGGACCTTTATTTAAGGGCTATACAGTCTAGAAGAGCAGAATAATGTATCGAAAATGTTGCAAATGCTGTCAGAGTGACAGAAGATCCAAGATCCAAGCTTCCAGAAACCTTCCTAGATGAATAAATGCTTCAAAGGTCACAAAGGGTGGGGAAGAGGGTAGGGCATTGTATTCTATGGAAGTACTTGGAGTTGGTACAAGGGCGGAGTGGCCGTTGAGTTAAGGATGTAGAAGAAAAACTGTAACTAAATCGTGGCACACCAGTCACTCCAATGTCTGAGCAGAGAAATGGAATGATGAGATTGGCAGCTGGTGGGAGGGATGACTTGAGGAGGAGCAGAGGCAGGGGGCAGGGGCTCCAGATAGGGAGCTACAAGGCCCAGGCAAGATACAAAGAACAGATTTGCAAGAGCAGTCACATGCAGAAAGAGGCAGAGGACAGCGAGAGCAGGGGGTAAACAGTGCTGAGTTTAATGGTTGCTATTTAGCGATGCCTTTACTGCTTTGTTTAAACAGTAAAGCATTCAATGTAGAAAAATGGTCATTAGTATAAATGTTTCAGAGCTGAATTTATAAGAGGCTCAGAGGTATCAGTTTTAGAATTCAGCTAAAGGAGGTTTGTTCAAATATAAATTTGCTTAAATGTGTGCATGTGTCTTTAGGTTAATGAGCTCATGAATCGAGTGCTCCTTTTGACCACTGAAGTTTTGAGAAAACAGCTGGATCCTTTCCCTCACAGACCAGTTCAGTCGCATGGTAAGAACTTTGGTATTTCAGACTTTTCATGCTTGCCTTTTATTGCTTAAAATTTTCCTGGACGGGTTGGGGCACTTAGACGTTTTGTTTAAAAAATACAGCTCACTATTATCTAACAGACCGGAGGAGTAATACCTGCCATTACGCAAATTTCAACACACAGTGTGTACTTTCCTAAATTGGGAGGCTTTTCTGACTCTGAAAGTTATGACTGTATACAGATATTCTGAATCTATTGAAAATAGTATCGTTTTATGTAATTGAATTCTGGGCTCCCTTTTACATTTTATTAATGACTAATCTTCAGTTAGAAGAAAAACTTTCAGAATTCCTCCTACCTATAAAAAATACTTTTGACATGTTTGAAATGTTTCAAATTGGGACTTAACATTTGAAAAGAAAAAGAAAAAAGATAGAAATAAACTAGAATTTAGCACTTTTTGTACTAAAATACAGTATAGTGATTTCTAGAGTCTTGGGTTTCTAAGGAAAATTCCCCATAAATCTTACCAATATGAATTAATATCAAGAAGTTCCAAGCAGATAAATATCATTGAGGGCCTAGTAGTATATGATTTCTCTTTTTTCCTTACAAAGGGAAGGGAATAGATAGTTACTGAGAATCCTCCTATGACTCAGGTATTAAGATAGGCACTTCCAATGTTATTTTATTTTTTTATTATTTTATTGTATCTCATTTATTGCCCATAACCACCCTAGGTAGGTAGTGTTACATGGTGGTGAAGAGCGTGGAGTGTGATGTCAGACTGCTTTCTGCAAATCCCTCACCTCCTGTTTCCTTAATATCAGTTCCCTCATCGGTAAACTGACAATACCTACCTCATGTGGTTGTTGAGAGAATTAAATGAGTAAATACATGAAAAGCCCCTAAAATATTGCCGGATGCACGTAGCAAGACAATATAAGGGTTTGCTGTGATGGTAATTATCATCAGATGAGGAATACACAGCCCAGAAATATCTTAATAATCTGTTCACACTTATTTGGATGGTGATGCCAAAGCAGATATTCCAACTCAGATCAGTCTTTCAGTGGGAACTTCTATCATGTCTCTGAGCATTAGTATATTATAAGAATGTCTAAGCAATTCAGAACAAAGGCAACAAATCAATGTCTCCTGGAAACAAAGGGGAAAGCAAAGAATTTTATAGCTAATTTTTTTGTAGATGACATCCTTTGAGTATTTACTGTGTGCTAGGCTCTGTGCTGTGTGCTTACTCAAAGCCGTGTGGTGTAAACAACCGGAATAACACTACAAAATAGATATTATTATCATTATTTACACATGAAGCAAAGAGGTTCAGTAACTTAGCTAATGTTCTCAGTTATTAAGGAGTGGAACTAGGACTCTACCCAAGCTCCTGGCTCTGGAGTCCTAAGCTTTCACGTTTGTTTTTTGGGATAATTGACACTTGTAAGGATTGAATTTATTTTATGAGATTTATAAAAGATAATACAGAGTAAAGTATCTTAGAGTAAAATGTAATATCCGTGTCCACATAAATACAGTATGTTTATAATCCCCTGGCAATTGCAGAATGCTTTGGGGAGGCTGATTATAGGTGCTACAATTCTATTGTCAACAGAGCAGGCTCCATCTCCAAGCATAATTTCTTGATGAAGGAAGTAATTTTCCTCTCCTCTCCCTTTGCTTCTTGTAACACAGCAGAGTTTCTGAAATTTTGAATAGGGTTGTCAGAGATATGTCAATAGTAAATCTATTTAATTCCTTTGGATTTTCTCCTCTCCATACATATAGATTATTTTTATATATTATGCCCCCAAGATAAGCCTGGATTCCTGAAAGGGCATTATTTACTGGGCAAGAGACTATATAATTATAAAATATATTAAATAAATGTTGATTGCAAATAAAACCTTTAAACAGTATTGAGTACTAAAAACTAACAGTGATATTATGTTAATTACAGCATACATTCTTTAATCCCAGTTCTTCCATGCATTTTCTTCTTATTTCTAAAATTGAGATCATTTTTTATTTCTAAGAGTTAAGATAATTATATCATTAATGGAAATTATAATAATTTCAGAGAACACTGCTAATCCCCTACAGTAAAATGATTGTCTTAAATGTACACTTGAAAATATCCTAAATAACTAATTTTACTTTCCTAGGTTTAGATTGTACTGATATTAAAGATACTGTTGGCTCTGTCACCAAAACACCAAGTGGTTTATATGTAATCTATCCGGAAGGATCTAGCTATCCATTTGAGGTAAAGTTTTCCCTTATTGTATGAAATAGGATAAGCATCCAACCAACTAAATTAATGTTAAAATTTAATTGTTTTAATATTTAATTTTTTTCTTGAAAAAAATATAAGTAAATTAGTAAAAATTCCAGTTTCAAAATTTTGGTTTTTTGAAATTCTTTGCCCAAACCACAAACATGTAAAAGAACTAGAGAGTCTGGGTTTTCATGGTTATACTTTTCAACACAAATCCTTTTGGTGCAAGATCTTATATTATTCTTAATATAGTAGGCAGAACTGTGGAATATAAATACTTATTTGCTTTAATTAGCTTATGGATGTTAGAAAATAATGGTGTGCTTTGCCTTGGAGCTTACTAAAAATACTTTTGATTTGCCTTCCTACATATATGGTTATAATTTCTTTGTTTGACAAGTGATTTTATGTGATTGTATAAGAAATTAATAATTTAAAAGACCATTAAAGTCAGACAGATTGAGAAGCTGATCCATTCTTGAATTGAATAAAATAAATTACTGATGTCTATTCTTAGTAGTTCTATGCTAGGATTTCTAGAAGAAATTTCTACTAGAAATTATGTACTATTATATATTATATATATAATGTATATAATTTTTCTGGGTACATTTTTATGCATAAGAAAGTTTATGACACTGGTATCGCACCTTGTTGATAGTCTTTAATACACAATAAAGTAAATTTTTTCTAAGTAGATACCACCAGTTTCTCTTCTTAGAATTACTAACATTATTTTTTTACACCTATTCACAAGATGTCAAAAAATTAGGAATTAGGTGGGAAATAATTTTTAAATTACTCAGTTCAAAATGGGCCAGAACTGATGTGGAAAAGGAAGGCTTCTAGTTTTTGAAGAGTGGGGTGCATATTCCCCTCTTTTGGGGGGCGTGCTGTTCCCTGACTTCCTCCACACTGCCTCTCTGTGCAGCAGCAGGTCTGTCCTGGCGAGGACCACTCCGCCTTCTCCCTAGGTCAGTTCTCTGGGTTCCCACAGTTGTCTCAGGGGCATTTTGAACAGCACCCACAGATGGGCTTCTGAGTGCCCGCTGAGATGGGACGCAGGTCATGCCTTACTGTCTGAAAAGCCCAGTCTAAACATGGCCCTTCCAGGCTTTTGGAGAAAAAATAATAAAAAACAGGCACGCAGGAATATTCAACACTGTTGTGTGTGTGTGTGTGTGTGTGTGTGTGTGTGTTTAAAGTCAACATTTTCAACTCAAAGGAAAAGTTCATTTGAAAGAAATACATCACTCTGCTACATCTTATCGGTACTCTTAATCACTCAACTGAAAAATATGTAGAGTTAAGGAATAAGAGAATAACCTTAAAATGCTACACACACCAAACACCTATATATTTTTAAAAAATGACTGATACAGGGACTATACTTCAGAGAACTACAAGTTTGTTTGATCATAAACAAAATTCTTTGTAGAAATTTTTTAAAAATCTGCATATATTAATATACAATTGCATTGAAATTCTCAGTGAAAGTCTCTTCTCCTTCTCTAGGCTTAAGAGTGAAGCATGAGTTTTACAGCTAAGAATGAAAATCATAGTATGTTCCTTTTGTCTTCTCTGGGTCTGTTTCAGGTAATGTGTGACATGGATTACCGAGGAGGCGGATGGACTGTGATACAGAGAAGGGCTGATGGGATAATTGATTTCCAAAGGATGTGGTGTGATTATCTGGATGGATTTGGTGACCTTTTAGGTCAAATTATAATTTATTTTTCCTGTATCTTTTTTTCTTCTTTTTGATATTACACCTAGAGACTGTCTCTTGGTCAAATTGTTAGTTAAAAAAAAAAAAAAAGTAAATCCTTGTGAATATCAAAATATGACTAAATCACTGTCATAATATGTCAAATTATTTAAAATAAGTAGGTCTTTAATTGAAATTTGGAAATCTTTCATTTTATATACCTGTTGAAATGTTATTTGAATGAAAATTTAAATTGGGTGTTTATTAAGTATCTGCTATGTACCTAGCAGAGTTCTAGCAGGTGCTCAACAACTATTTGTAGAAAGAATAACTGTATGGGCATGGTTGTTGTAAACCTTGAAATTCTTCAGATGTGTGTTGTGCCTACACAAGTAAATGAAATGGAGAATTTAGGTATGTGGCTGAACAAAGTCAAGTAATGTGAACCGGGAGTAATGTTTTATGAAAATATCAGTTAAAATCACTATGTTCAAAACCTGAGGAAAAAATGTAAACCTCAGGTCGATTGTAAAATCTGTTTACATTATTGCCACACAACAGTATAACTTTTGTTGGTGAATAGAAATATCAGTATTTCTGAATACTTTAGATTTTCCATTAGTTGGAATGTTTGCAGGTGATTTCCATCATTTTTATGCTAGTTTAAGTTGCTGTTGTTATAATTTAAATCTTTAGCATCCCGTAATAATGTCATTCAGTGATTTAGCACTGAATGCCAGTGATTTTAGAAGGGCCATGAAACTCAATAAAATGTTATGTATAAGGCCAAAAAGCTGCCATGTATGGAGTGCAGTTAATATACTTGTATTTTCTCAGCGTTAACCTCCAAATTTCCATTGAGGGTTTCTTCCTAAATTCAGGCTTTGAATTGTCATCTTCCTGACATTATGCTTATTTTTATGGGGAAATTATATGAGTTTTGACAAAAAGGTCTTCAGGCCGGTATCCTTCACATGAACAGGCTGTTTTATACATATATATATATTTTTTAAAAACTTGCAATTAAGTTAAGTATATTGTTAAGTCTTAAATTTGGGGTGTGGTAGAGGGGAAAGATGGTAGGGGCATTTAAAATGGACAACCAGACTTTGGACACTGCCCAGACCCCTAGGGACCCATCTCGCTCCCCGGGCTGCTTTATGCTTCCTGTACCCCCTTTCTTCCTCTGCTTCTTCAGGACAACTTTCAGTTCTAAGTGGGTGTGCAGCTAAAATACTCCTGTAAGCCCTGGAGAGGGACTTAGTATCTTAGCTATAGTTTGAAGAGTTTGAATGCTGTCACACCGTCCCTCAACTCTTTGAAGTTTATTTTGACTAGATCCTTACTTGAATAATTTCATGATTCAGGGAGAGAAATATATTTCAGAGCAGGAGTGTACACATTTAGGCCGTGGCAAAGTGGGTGGGGGAACTACAAAGCCGTTGGCTAGAACATGCAAGAAATTTGCAGTCTGAATTAGGGGGTTAATAATTCACCCGGGATCTACAATCGCCTTGGAAATATTGGCCCTAAACCTGGGGATACTCCAGTGTTGTTACGTTACATTTCTATTGGTGGGTAGTTCGCAAGCTGCATTATAACAAAGGAACGTTTGTTCACAAAACATTCTTCTCGAAGACAGAAAAAAATAATTTCAACTGAGCATTATCAGGAAAGGTCTCGTTACGAGGTGCTGATTTGGAGGTTAAACCTCTTACATTGACCAGTACCCATCATTTTGTTACCTGCCATAATGTCTCAACTGGCTTTTAATTGACATGTTTTACGCTAAAACTTGACTTTGTACTTAATTACTCTTTAAATGAAGTTTTGAATTTAATTTGGGGAAATAAAAATGAAAGAGTCTAGTTATCCTCAGTCTAGTGAAGAGGGGAGAAGCTTGTTTTTTGGAAACTAGGCAAACACTGATAATTTGAGCGAGGTCCCTCCAATAATTTATATGAGCCATTTCAGAGTTTTTGAAATATTAAACAACACCAAACACTCAGTAATAAAGGGTTATTTTAATTTGTATCAAAAAATATTTTTAAAAGCTGCTTGTTTGTTTTTTTAACAGGTGAATTCTGGCTAGGACTAAAAAAGATTTTTTATATAGTAAATCAGAAAAATACCAGTTTCATGCTGTATGTGGCATTGGAATCTGAAGATGATACATGGGCTTATGCATCATATGATAACTTTTGGCTAGAGGATGAAACAAGATTTTTTAAAATGCACTTAGGACGATATTCAGGAAATGCTGGTAAGTTTTTTATTCCGAAAATTATCCAGAGGACTTAAATATAACTGACTTAATATTAGGTGAAGATCAGGAATGAGAAAACTGGCCAGGTCTTGAGTTTTGAAACTGTGTTATGGTTGCTGTACCCCATCATGATTTTGAAGTGCTTTATACTCTTTACAACAATTGGTCACATGTAACCTTAGCTGATTCTTTAGAGTGCCTGCGGATTAGGCTTGGAAGATATCATTTACATTTTCTTCTTCAGAGAGGCTGGCATTTAGAAGTCATAAAATGTTAGAGCTGATCTTCACTCTTCTCACTTTGCAGGTGAAGAAACCTGAAAGATTAACTGACTTGCCCAAGATTCCCAGCTCATCACATCTGAGCCAGGGCAAGAACCCAGGTTGATAGAATAACTAGCTTAGTGTTTTTTCACTATACATCGGTGCACCTACTTATTTCCAAATAACCTTAATTTGTTAGAACTTTAAAATACTTGATGTTAAACTTATAGTTTGATGTTAAAATTTTGAATTTGAGTTAAGAAATACTAAATTTAACTCTCTCGTTGCTTGTCATAGTGCTTATGTGTTCATTTAGTGTTAGAAATACAAAAATATATGACATATATTCCTAAGTCTTTAAGTGATCACAATATAGAGGGGTAAATAAATAAAACTGAAAACAGAATACTGATAAAGCTTTGGGGATTAAAGGGAAGGAAAAAATTACTACTTTGTTTTACTACCCAATTAAAGAGAAAATAAGTTGAACAGACCATATTTAAAGCAACTCTCTGGTCTACTAAAAATATTATATAAAATGTATAAATTTAATTTTAATAAATGTATAAAACTTAATTTTGTTGGAATAAAAAAATCAATTGGATGAATTAACTATCCTATATGCTGTGAATTGAAAGACCTGCTTGAAATAGTAATGTGTTTGTAATGTGTTTCTCATTGAACTGTCTGATTTTCAGGTTCATTGTTCCTCTACTTGGTTATTTAAAGAAAATGTCAAGTTACATATAATTAAAGGGCAAATGCTACTTATTTAGGTACAGTATACTAATCTCAAGATAGATCTAAATTCTATTTAAAGATGATTTGATTTTTATAGACATCTATGTGAGAAAAACAGATAAATCAAAGTGTATACCAATTTAGTTGTCATAGAGATCAGCAGATAAAATAAAGCATTTTGCTCAAGAAAAAATAAAGGAGGAAGAAAATGACTCCAATTGATTGCATACAGAAAATTATCATGGAAAGGTAGTTTTCAAAAAGGGGTTAATATTAGATCCCACCTGGAAAACTTTTGAAAGTCTTGCAGAATCTGAATCAGTAAATTTGGGCCCAGGTATTTGCATTCACAGATGGATATGTTGGCATCTTTATAGTTGAGAACCACTGATCTGTACTTGGAGGAATGAATAAGCTTCTGGCAAATGCATGTTGGCAAAGAGAGTGGCTTGAGTGAAAGTACAGAGGGAGGAAAATTACTGGCTATGAAGAGTTGTCTGGTATGTTGGAATGTATGACATCTATGAGGGGATTAGCATTGAGATATTAGGTGAAATTCTGAAATCTTTTAAATCTTGAGATAGAGGGAAAATTTTAAAGAGTTACAATATATAATTTTTAGTGCTTCATTTCTAAAAGTGTAAAGAACTGTCTAAATATGGAACATACTATGTTTGGAAAAGTTTATGTGGGGTTTCTCTAAAGAATTATTAGGATCTAAGTAGAGAATAAAATTTAATGACAAAAAGTTTTTCATTATATAAATCTCAAATTTTGCCATACTCTATATTTTTCCAGTAAGGCTCTTAAGGAACTTTTGTTGATCACATAATCAAAATAAAGAAAAAAGTTGTCAATAGAATGAAAAGATGGAAACACAGATAAAACCAGGGGCTTAAGAGTGATCATGTGTGTGGGTGGAGATGAGCTACAAAGTTGACTGAGTTCAGAGCAAAAATAGAAGTATGAGAGTTGAACATTTGAACAACTCAGTTTTTCCATGAAAAGGACATATATTCCTGATTCTAAAACTCAAGAGAAATTTCTCTGGGTTCAGAGAAAACAGTGTCGTGTTCTCTAAGTGCACTCTAACAGAAAAGATGGTGTTGAGTTTTAATGGGCTCTTTCTTAAAAAAACATGGATCATATTTTTGAAATAGTTTCTTAAATATAATTGAGAGAGGAGCTGATCTTTCTGATGGTCAGTTAGATTTTATCCAGGGAGAGTATCTGTGGAGGGGTCATATAATTTAGGCAGTGCTCCATAAGTATTGTCTCTCTCATCTAAACTTCTGAAAGGTATTGTACTATGTGGGTGTTGAAAATATAGTCTCTCTGCAAATACTTGTGACGTGGGCATTTTGCTTCACGTGAAGAACAGTTGGAGGCTCTGCACGTAGGTACGGTACAGGCCACCACACTGCTAATCAAGTTCTCTGACTCCTCAAGGCTTATCTCAAGAGATGCTGGACGTTTGGGAGCATAATGAAACAAATGGGGCTGTGAATTCTTCAAAGATTTTGCATAGCTTCACTTTTAGTTCAAACTTATTAGTGAAGTTTACCTACAGGTGAAATCTAGGTACAGTGAGATGATTTAGAATATTTTATTTATACAAATTTTATTATACAAAACATGACTCCTACCCCTGCCACTTAGTTAACTGGTTTGCCTTAGCCAAGATACTTAGTCTTCGAAGATCATTGAGAATATCAGGGATATTGTACATATAATGTCCAATGTAAGCCCTTTAAAAATTGTATTCTTTTAACTATTCAATTAGTTTAAATATCATGTAGAGAGCCATGTAGAAAAGGCACATTTCAGTAGTGTACCTAATTTTTGAGGGCATTGGGCATTTTATATAAACTTGGTAGCATATAAATAAAACCAAAAAACTTTTGCAGTTACAAATCTAAGTTTTATAATGCAGAAATTTCACATTCATTCATACCTCTTTATCTATAAGGTGCTGTAAAATGGTAGTGGTATGAAAACCTCTTATGTGTAAATTATTTTCTTTTTCTATATTAACAATCATCACATTCTTCTTTCCTGAAGAATGACAGGTCTATACACCACCATCTTTGGCCTAAATTACCTGATTACATCTACACAGCCAAACTTCCATTTTGGATTGTGATTTTATATCACATGTTCACTTAAAGATCCCTATTACCTTGAGGAATTCATCCTCAGATTTTGCCATATTGCAAGCTGGAGGAGAGTTTGTAATTTGACAGCTTGTAGAAAATAATTTAAATCTCATTTCTAGATGCAATGCTTCTGCATAATAGGCTGGTAAAGGTCAATTAAAAAGTACAAAAAGCACCCGGCTGGGCATGGCTCAGCAGTTGAGCATTGACCTAGGATCCAGGTGATCGGGGTTTGATTCCCAGTCAGGGCACATGCCCGGGTTGTGGGCTTGATCAATGGCTCTCTCATCATTGATGTTTCTATCTCTCTCTCTCCCTCTCCTTTCCCCTCCCTGAAATCAATAAAGATATATTTAAAGAAAAAATTACAAAAAGTGCCTTTAAGTTTAGTCATTTACAAAATCTCTTTTACCCAGGCGATGCATTCCGGGGCTTCAGGAAAGAAGACAATCAGAATGCAATGCCTTTCAGCACGGCAGATGTTGATAATGACGGATGTCATCCCGCATGCCCTGTCAGTGGTCAGTCTGTGCAGAGCTGCAGTCACCTCAATAACAACACGGGGTGGTGGTTCAACCAATGTGGCCTAGCAAATCTGAATGGCATTCATCGCTTCCCTGGAAAATTGCTTGCAACTGGAATTCAATGGGGCACATGGACCAAAAACAGCTCGCCTGTCAAGATTAAATCTGTTTCAATGAAAATCAGGAGAACTTATAATCCGTATTTTAAGTAACTTCATTTAAATTGTGATGCATGTTCCACAATTATTTTTGATAATGTATAAAAGATTTTACATAGTTTCTCTTTTTACTGCGTGTTTTAAACATTTTAGCCAAAATTTGACTGTAGATAATATCAAGGGATTAAGAATGGAATTAGGCCCTGTCAGCAAGGCTCAGTGGTTGAGCACTGACCTGTGAACCAGGAGGTCACGATTCCATCAGATGCCCCCTGTCAGGGTAAGAGCCTGGGTTTCAGGCTCAATCCCCAGTAGGGGACGTGCAGGAGGCAGTCGATCAGTGATTCTCATCATTGATGTTTCTATCTCTCTCCCTCTCCCCTTCTCTTTCTGAAATCAATAAAAACATATTTAAAAATAGAGCATAATTAGAAACTTTTAATTTTGTAGAGCTTTAATAAAAGAAAACATGGCTCGATGCATGCTCTTATTACTAACTATATTAATAATATGTAATAACATTTGTTTTCAGTGAATTATGACATCTTCTAGGGTCTGCTGTCCTTTTAAAGGATTTTTAATTTTTTAAAAATAAAGCATTAAATCATCATAGATTAGAAAAATTAAAGAGAGCATTATACTTATGTCTATATTTATTTTAAATGGTACCTATGTAATCTACAATTTCTATTGAAGACAATTATAAGGAATAACTTTGTGCTGATTAATACATAAACTTTACATGGTTTAAAAACCTTACTACGTCTAGATGATTCCACAATATTTTATAGGTAATAAGAATTTGCTGCAAAAATAAAGTCCTCTTTGTTTTTCCATTTTATTGTGATTAATAGTTTTATGCTTGTTTGTAATAAATTTACTGTATATGTATATCCTGATCAGTTGCATTCTAAAACACATTTACATCTTTCTCTCTTTAAGCCAGTAGAATGGTATGAATTTTAAGGGAAGGGCAGTGGAAAAAGAGTGATGAGTCAGTGGTCTACAGGTGGCTCTGGGAAGACGGTCTCCTCTCCTTTTTGCACTGAGTTGGAAGGAGTTGGAGTGGTAAGGATTCCATGGGAAAACACAGCAGGAAACATGCCGGGCAAAGTGACAGTTATTGATAAGAAAGATGAGGAAAACCACCAAGACTCAGCGTTAAGCAGAAAAGTGCTTTGTCCAGAGCTAGGATCACATAATGTGTAAAGGAAGGTAGAAGTAGATGAAAGACTAGGTGGGGAGAGGACTGAATTAAATGTACTAGAATATAGATATCAGGGAACAATCTGAGCCCAGAATAGAGCTTACCTGGCTCAGAACACAGAATCTGATCTGAATTTAGGGATGGGCAAAATAACATGGTCACCATTCAAAATTCCTTTCACTTTGATCTCCTCTCCAAGGAGTGAATAAGTCGTGTACAGAATTTATACGAGAGAAGGTTGCAGGGGCATGAACATGCTTCCCCATGGCCTCCTGTGCATCTCACGGAGGCACAGCTGAGGATGTGGTTGGAGGAGCACAGGGTTGCGGGTTCACTGCCTTTTATACTTCAGTGATTCAAACACCAGAAAAATCTATCTACAAATTAAGGAAATCGTGTTGCCCCATAGCAAGCCACATCTAATAAGCAGATCTGGACCTTGAAATTCTTGCTGAGCTTGCACAGGGACAATCTCCTTTGTTGTGCTGCAAGGTCTAGGGGCTTCACAGTTTTAATCTCACCATAAAGACTATGGAGATAATGGAAACTTTGAGGATAAAAGCAGAATTGGAATAAGTGCGGGGATGTTAAGGAAAAGACAGATCCAGTGCAGTGAGAAATTTTACTCTCTTTAGGCTTGGGAGTGTGAAGATATATATGATTCTGAATGGCTAAGGGGCAATAACCTCCAGGATGCCTTGTGAGAAACTATAAGAGTATTAAGAGGCCTCAAACCCCACTGCAAAGAAGAAGGTATATATATTTAAGTGTGTTTTTTACTTATTTCAGAGAGAGGAAAGGAAGGGAGAGGGAGAGAGAGAGAAACATCAGTGTGAGAGGGTACATTGATTGGCTGCCTCCTGCATGCCCCCTACTGGGGATCAAGGCTCCAACCCAGGCATGTGCCCTGACCAGGAATCAAACTGTGACCTGGTTCATGAATGGATGCTCAACGACTGAGCCACACTGGCCAGGCAAGAAGATATATCTTGGGTAATAATTCTGAGCTTCAGACTCCCCAAAATGAAGTGACCTGACCCTTAGAAGTTAGGAGATCAGGACATCTGGTCCCTTTTTGCTATCTACTACCTCAACAGCATGCAAACATGTCTTAGAAGGTCTGGGTCACATGCCTATGGTCCAGATGACATCCTTACAAATTTATTCTTTCAGCATCTAAGGAACTTCCTGGGTAAATGGTCCCATTTAAGAATACAAATACTTTATTCTTTCATCAATTTACACCTTACCAGTAAACATTGAAACTGTATCCTCTTAAAAATCAAAAGAAAAATATATAGATCCCAAAGCTTCTCTCTAAACCATCATAGATTAGTTATAAATAGAAAAAAGTTAACATAATAGCTTTGAGAGCTATAGTTCTTAGAAGTAGTCCAAAAGCAAGTAATAATCTATTTAGAAATAACTATAAAGCATTACTAAGAAACACAAACAACTCTAGATAGCAACACAATCATAGTCTTCCATTGGAAGACTTACAACAAAGGGCCTCAGATGTATGAAGGTGAGTAGTGGGCGTGAGAACCAAGAACAATTTGGAGTTTCAGGAAAAAAGTATGAGAAGGACTTAGGTTGTGTCAAGAAGTCACTGACACACACTGCCTCAATGGCAAATGTGACATAGGTTTTACTGAGGAAAAAATGCATAGGATGGTAGATAGGAGAGCCTACTTATCTTAATGAACAATGTGCTCTGGGAGGTCACTTTTGTAACAGGATAAGCTTCAGGGTTGAGAAAGCGGCCTCATTTGAAAGGGGAGTCCACTGAAGCTCAGTGCCTGGTACCTGCTCTTTGCATTGAGCCACTGTAGATCCACTGCAGATACACTGAGCCTGCTCTTTGATAAGCTACCTAAAGAAGGGAGACAATGAGCCCTTAGGCTATTCAGATCTGTCTCCAAAGTAATCCATAAATTTAAAATAAGAACACCAGTAAAAGGTCAATAGGATTTCCTTTTTTTAAATTTTGAAGAAATTTGAAGTGCTTCTGGAAGTGTGATGAATGAGAACAGATAATATGTTTGAAAACAATTGATGAGGTCTTGATGCATTGATTATGAAAGTGTATTATAGCCCGGCCGGCTGTGGCTCAGTGGATGAGCATCGACCTAGGATCCAGATGATCGGGGTTCGATTCCCGGTCAGGGCACATGCCCGGGCTGCGGGCTCGATCCCCAGTCGGGGGCGTGCAGGAGGCAGCCGATCAATGACTCTCTCATCATTGATGTTTCTATCTCTCTCTCTCTCCTCCTACTCATTTCCTCTCTCTGAAATTAATAAAGATATATTTTTTTAAAAAAGAAAAGAAAGTGTATGATAAATATACAAGTTATTTATTTATTTATTTATTTATTTCTGCGTGACAAATTACCACAAACTTAGTGACTTTATTTTTTTTATTTTTTATTTTTTTTAAATGTCTTTATTGATTTCAGAGAGAGGAAAGGAGAGGGAGAAAGAGAGATAGAAACATCAATGATGAGAGAGTCACTGGGGATGGAGCCCACAACCCGGGCATGTGCCCTGACCAGGAATTGAACCCCGATCGCCTGGATCCCAGGTCGATGCTCAACCGCTGAGCCACGCCCTGCCGGGCAAACTTAGTGACTTTAAAAGACACTCCTTTATTAGCTCACAGTTCTGTAAGTCAGATGTTTGGCAAGGTGTGGATAGGTTTTCTGCTCAGGGTATTATGATGCTGAAATCAAGGCATACAAATGTCCAATCAATATTGTACACTGGAAACTAATATAATTAATATAATATTGTATACCAACTGTACTTAAATAATAAAAAAAAAGACATCATCCAAGCTGGGCTCTCATCTGAGTTCAGGGACCTCTTCCAAGCTCATTGGTTGTTGGCACAATTCATTTCCTTGTGGTTGTAAGACTGAGGTCCCTGTTGTGTGTCTAGTGGTGAGCTGGGACCACTCTCAGCTCTTAGAGGCTGCCTGCTATTCCTTGACATGTGGCTCCCATGGGCAGTTTATAAGATGGACATTTGCTTTCTCCCAGGCTAAACTAAACACATTTCTCTAGCTCCCTCCACTGTGGCCAGTCAGACCAGCCAGAAAAAACATGCTGCTTTCAAAGAGCTCATGTGATTAAGTTAGGCCCAGCTGAATCATCTCCCTAGCTTAAGGTTAACTGATTCGGGAACTTAATTACATCTGCAAAATCTTTTCAAAGCAGTATGTAGAGTAGTGCTTAATTGAATTACTGGGAGAGGGTGTATATAAAAGGGGCTTCGGAATCTTGGGGGCTATCTTAGAATTCTGCTTACCACAATAAAGTGATAAAATTAAAACAGCTATAAGGAGAAAAACAGAAAAATCAGTAGAATAGGAATTCTATAATGATAAAAAATATATAATGTAGTGTATTAAAAAAGTAGAGTTTTATACTGGGGAGAGACAGATTGATAAATGGTAATGGAGAAAAATGGCCAACAATTTGAAAATACAAAGAAACGCCTTATTGTGCAAAAATTAATTTCAAATTGATTAAATACATAAAAAATCCCAAATCTTTATTTATTTATTTATTTATTTATTTATTTATTTATTTATCTATTTAATTTACCTTTATTGTTGAAAGTATTACAGATGACCCCTTCCCCCCCATTAACCCCCTTTACCCAGCACCTGTCCCAGCCCCCCTCCCCCAGGCCTTCGTTTAGCATTTGATGAACATACCAGCAAATCTTTTTATTTCAAAGCAGAAGGATTTCATTTGATAACTTGAATATTTGTAGCTTCTGCATACCTGAAACACCATGAGCAAAATTAGAGACAAGTAAAAAACTAAAAAAGTATTTTAACAAAAAAAAAATTCTAATTCTTATATATAATGCATCTTAAAATGTGAGAACATCCTTATAGAATAAGCAAATGCCATAGACGGCATTTAAATAGTCAATAAACATGAAATTATGCCATGAATCATCATGAAAATTCAGACCTAATATTGGACGTGTAACATCAGTATTTGTACAGAAGTTGGGAAATGGGCTTATCCATACTTATAGTGTAAATTTGTATAAGCTTGTTGAAGGGCCCTTTTGATAATTCTTGTATAAAGCTGAGGAAGAGTCCAAAGAAAAGAGCTTATCTCAAT